CATAGCCGCTTGGAATGACTGAACACGCGACAGAAGCGAAGTGATTGTGACTTCGCTCTTCCCGTCAGCGCGTTTGCGATCCAATTTTGGACGCTCGGTCCAAAGGAAGCGATGCATCTCGTATCCTTCAAATCGCATGAGGCTGATAGTCATGTCGGTGAAGTGATTGCGATCTTTACTGACGTCTATCCCGCCCTCACCACGCTCAGCACGGTCGAGATCAACATCGTCAATGTTCAGCGGAAAGCGAGTGTCATAGTCGTCGAGCCGGATTTGCGGACGTGGGCCAACAGCTTCGCAAGTACGTAGATCCAGGAAACATATTTGGTACCATATGAGGCGCCGTACTTGGATCTCAACCGGCGAGGAGCTGTAGGTCGTCGGGTCCCGGTGCAAACCCATACATTCAGCCAAGCGAATAAGTGACCCAGTTAGTGCAGAGTGGGCGCGAGATACTTCGTTGCGACATAGCGGAATCTATAGGAAGTTATTAGCAAAGTCTGGTGAAGTCAACGGTCACGACTAGGGTAAATTGTCGTGTACGCGCTTTAGGACGGCAGACTTACGAGGTACATCACGAAAGCCTGAATTGTCTCCAGTTTTGTAGTGCGTAGGAAGTTGGCTCGCGCAAGCGCTGCCTCCGTCCCTTCCCTGAAGCTGTCTATCATGGTTTGCTTTTCAACACCAAACTCGACTTGCACCATGTCATCGGTCATTGAAACGACTGAGTTTAGCAAAGCCGCAAAGAGCACTGCTTGGAAAGATGCGCGAGGCTCCATGCCCATGTTGACTCTGATCCAGAAGTTCTGATACTGTCGCTCGAATGAAGGGCGGTGTACGGTCCGGGCTATGGTATGCACCGCGACCCAATACTGAGAGAGTAGTTTATCAACCACGACCCGAGCAGGCAGATGGGACTCAAGAGCGGTTTGGTCGATTCCGGACGCCAACATAAAGTTTGAAGATGGAGCGACATAGTCTTGTGTGGGTGCTAACCAGTTTACGGCGTCTTCCTCGATGGCAGACAGAGACGGAGTTTCGCGATCTGGTAACTCTTTAAGCGTTGTAGCAAGCTACGAGGAAGGTGTCAGTTTGATCCGACATGCTAAACACGTGGAGACTCACCTCATCCGACAATCTTGGACGAACAAGTCCTCCAATGCGTTCTGTGATGCGAACTCTGCCCATTCGAAAGCCCAGATCGACCATGTCGTCGTTGACATCGTCGTCAGGCTCATAGTAAGCTGCATCTTCAGTAACGAGATGTGTCGGCCGGAGATCCTTAGTGTCCTCGTCGTCTTCTTGGTCGCTTGACTGTTCTTGACCAGGGAGTGTACCAACCCTAGAAAAGCTTGCAGTATTTCTCAAGTTTATTTCTGTCTTGCGCGCAACATCTTCTTCAAGGCTCCTCTCCAAACGACCCATCTGCTCTTTAACCTCGGCTAGCTTTGCCTGAGCATTTGCATCAAGTCCGGAGGCAATGAAAACGCATTGTCGCGTGTTTTTGGTGCAATGTGTACATGGGTGGCCTTTGTCGCACTTCAACTTCCGCCGGCGACATTCGAGACAAGAAGTAATGAGTCGATTCCTGCGGCGAACGCGCGGTGCAGGCTGCTGTGTCCTCTTATCGGCTTCAACTGGTGGGGAAGCTTGAGACCCGTTCTGGTTCGACAATGATGGACTCGACATGACTGAGATGCTGTTGAAGCTTGGTAGTGGAAAGCCTGAACCCTTACGGACGTAAGATCCGATGCAGTGTCTCTGCGCAGCGATTAGCGACACGGTACATGAAGGATCGAACAGGGCATGCAATACGTTACTCACTTCCCCGGTCTCCACTTTATTGGGATTTTAGGGATGCTGGACTCCGGAATGGTACCTACCTAGGTAGGTATGCTTCGGAAGTTTAGGATGGTTCAGGCGTAAGACGCCAGCCACGTAGATACCAAGCTACGTTTCGTGCCAAGTTTCGTCAGAGGACGTGCACATGAAGTTGATGCCCTGCTTGCATGAACTCAAGACGTCTCCACGACTTTTGGAAGGAAACGTGGTGGCTGCTTGCTTACGACCTAGCAGGACTGCCCAGGTGCCCGCCCCGCTTTAGCGCTTCCGTGATGCATCGACTACGGCGGATCAGTCTTTGTCAGCGTCATTACCCTAGTCATTGTCTGGCCAAACCTATCTTACATGAGTGTAGAGAAGAAGCAGAGGCTTTTGCGCGACAATTCGTTCCTTGGAGTCTAGCAAGTACTAATATCGGCACATTGCGACACTTTCAAATGCCTCTGGCCTGAACACAACGCCTGATTGTGACATGTGGCCTGGTAGCATGGCTTCATACTTGGCGAGCAACCGCTCACTAAATCAGGGGGAGACTGACCCTTTTCCAAATGCTGAAGATAGCCTCGACCGTAGCTGCGACGTTCCTGGATGCAGCCCTGGGGTGAAGCTAATGCAGTCGACTGGATCCGTCTCGCTACCTATGTACGTATCAAGACTACTCAGACGCGAGAATCATCGCAGCATCAGTACATGATAGGCCTGGAACAAAGCACGGAGCGATGCGATGCCTGGTGGGTAATTCCGGTTTCTCTTCAGGCGTGGAAGATATGTAGGACACGGCTCTGACGCGAACGCGTAACGCCTGGTCACGCTTTTAGTTGGACGCGACCCGCGACAGCCTAGGACAAAGATCCACTGATCGTTGCCGCCGCGATCTATCTAACGCACGTCCTCACCGCTTCCATAACAAACACCTTTTCCTGCCGCCTTTTGCAGAGTCCCCACCACGCACGCCTCTCGATTCTCAATCCCACCACATTGTCCATACCGACCGTCTCACCTGCCTTTATTCTCGCTTCATCACTTCCGCTTTCAAAATGTCTGTCGTGTCGCTTCTCGGTGTGGAGGTCAAGAACAACCCCGCGCGCTTCGACGAGCCGTACGAGTTTGAGATCACCTTTGAGTGTCTCGAGCAACTACAGAAGGGTAGGTGCGCTCAACATCAAGAAAAGTCTCGGTGACTAACGACAATTCAGATCTCGAGTGGAAATTGACCTACGTTGGCTCTGCGACCTCGTAAGTCCACTGCCGCTCCTGCTCGTGAACACGTCTGATCAATGCCCCGCAGAAACGAGTATGATCAAGAACTCGACTCTGTCCTCGTCGGCCCCCTCCCCATTGGCGTCAACAAGTTCCAGTTCAAGGCCGATGCACCCAACCTCACGCGCATCCCCAACAGCGAGATCATCGGTGTCACAGTCATCCTGCTCAGCTGCAGCTACGATGAGCGCGAGTTTGTGCGTGTTGGATACTACGTAAACAACGAGTACACAGACGAGGCGCTGGCACTGGACCCGCCTACCAAGCCCGTCATTGAGAAGGTGCAGAGGCAGATCCTGGCAGAGAAGCCGCGAGTCACGCGCTTCGCCATCAAGTGGTACGCAGCTACAGACACTGGTGCTATTCTGGCAGTGCTAACCCATTCAGGGACTCCGACGAGTCTGCACCCCCCGAGTTCCCCCCTGAGCAGCCAGAGGCCGACCTCAACGCCGACGGCGACCAATACGGTATCGAGGAAGAGGAAGAGGAGGAGGCCGAAGAGGCTGAGGGTGAAGGTGTCGCCGCCGAGGGTGAGGATGCCGCCATGGCAGGTGCCGAGGACACTGCAGGCCCCGCCGCTGACGACGACGCTGAGTCCGAGGCCGGCAGCGAGGAGATCGACATCGAGGACTCAGAAGACGATGAGGAGGAAGAGGGTGAGGAGGGCGGAGATGACGACATGGAGATGGACGAGGGTGAGGCGGGCGCTGCCAGCGGTGACAAGCCAGCCCAACAACAGCCAGGAGGTGCCCCGCAGCAGCAACAGCCTGGTGCGGATGTCATGGTTCACTAGATGTCGCGCCGGGTTCCTTGCTTGCATACTTCACCATCGCGGGTGCTTCGAGCAGGAAGCGATATTTACCGCCTTGTGGTTTTCTTCCAGTCATGTAGACAGCAGTCGCCTCGCCACTGTGTCCACGCGATCTAGTCTTCACCTTGTCACGAAGAAGTTGAATTACGAATGACCCAGCAAGAAAGCAATTCATACTACGTGAGAAACCGCGTGCCGTGATAGTAGATATGTGGTTGAAGCTCAGATAGTCCACAAGAATGCACGCAGCCGCGCAAGCCATTCTTGGGCCCGAGTACGTGGCCTCTTGATATTCATCTCCGCAACGGTCTTCTTACCCTGCCGCTAGATCCGGGATGTGGCCTGCGCGGATCCGTCTACACAGGCTGAAAGTGGTGGTTCGAGTAACGCCAACGTCACTGCACAGCCTCTGAGTGAATGGCGCAGTGGTGGGAACTCGGAGGCTGATTTCCGAGACGTGTGTCGAAACATTTATAGTAACTGTGAAGGACAGGAAGGGGGGCGACATCGTTAATGATGCCGGTCACCACCTTCGGGATCCTTCGCTCCTGTTCTTGTGACCCTTAGAGTGCACATGTGTGCAAGCCTGAGGAACTCACTCGGCCATTGACGTCAAACAACGCACCTTTCACACACGGCAGAACCCTAGGACTACACGACTCTCCAGCGCCTGTTTCAGCAAACGGACTCGTCGGTCGTTTCGAATCTCTCCCTGGACTTATTCTTTCCCCCCTCAAACCTGCACCGCCGCCACTCCTGACTGTCTGTACAACCGCGCCCGGCGAGATAGTTGCACCATATACGACTACGAGGATCGCCCGCTCTCTCGTATACGATATCCGACAGATCGCAAGGGTTGCCGGCGAGTCTGCACTTAGCGACGGCGACTCAGGGCCATACCCCACCAAGTTAAGGTACGTTCATTTCCTGCTCCACGCGTCATTCGGCATGCATGGCGGCCTCGATGAGGGCTGCGCGGAACGGTCCCTGGGGCCAGGCGGCAACGTGCATCGAAGACGGCTTCCCTTGGACAACGGCTGACGCTTATATCTGAGCACCGCAGCGCATACCCTATCGCACCACGACAATGAGCTACCACCAAGGCCAGCCCAAGCTGGGGGCTACTTTTGTGCCAGGAGGCTTCGATGACTACTATATGCCGGCTCCTTCGCCTGAAGTCATCTCGCCTGCGCCTCAGCGGTTCGTTCTAGCCCATCGCCATGTGCATGCCCTGAAATTGCGGCTGACGTAGGTTTGGCGGTAGGATCATGCCCGAAGTGCCCGAGAACATGCAGGAAAACATCGCGCATCTGGAGTTGGAAGCCAACGGCCCTCGTGGTACCAACGGCGCCATGTCCCCCATGCAGAGCTACAATCAGTCACAGCACCCCAACTTCCCGCCGCGGCAGGCGAGCTACCAGAACGAGCTGCCCGTCCACAACGACCAATGGCCCGCCCGGCAAGCGAGCATCTCCTCTGCCTTCCGCCAGCCCCCCAACGTGCAGCCCCAGTCGGTCCAGCAGCAGCCGTCGCACGACTACAACCAGTTCGCCCAGAGCCACGACTCGCCCAACTTCTCGCCCTTCCCCAAGCTCCCCAACAAGCCCCCGAACGTGCCGCCGTCCGACGATGAGAAAGAGGCCGTCTTGGAGAATGCGCGCCTGCCCGTGCTCAACTCCAACGACCCGGAGATGCAGCTGGCATGGGCCCAAGACGCGCTGCAGTACGTAGACGCCGCGCAGCTGCACGAGCAGCGCATTTCAGAGATCCAGGGCGCGAGGCCGGCAACGCCACAGGTCGAGCACCAGCTGCGGCTCGATGCCATGAACGTAGTCACCTTCCTGGCCGACCAGGGCCATCCAAAGGCGACCTTCATGCGGGGCATGTGGCTGGAGTTTGGCAAGTTTGGCATGCGCGCAGACAAGAAGGAGGCCTTCAGGTGCTACTCCCGCGCGGCTGCAAAGGGATATGCGCGGGCAGAATACCGGATGGGCATGCAGTTCGAGCAGTCGAACGATCCGATCAAGGCTCTGCAGAACTACAAAGCCGGCGCGGAACAAGGCGACTCGGCCTCCAACTACCGCCTTGGTATGATGACGCTACTCGGACAGCACGGACAACCACAGGACTTTGCGAGGGGAGTGCATCTCATCAAGCAGGCTGCGGCTACTGCGGATGAGAATGCGCCGCAGGGTGCCTACGTGCTGGGCATGCTGCAGGCGCGAGAGCTGCCTCAGATCAACGTACCGGAAATGTTTCTGCCCTACGACGAAAAGGGTGCAAGACAGAACATCGAGAAAGCTGCCTACCTCGGATTCGCAAAGGCTCAGCTGAAAATGGGTTCTGCGTACGAGCTTTGCAGTCTAGGCTGTGAGTTCAATCCTACCCTTTCGCTGCACTACAACGCGCTCGCATCTAGGCAGGGTGAGCCTGAGGCAGATATGGCTATCAGCAAGTGGTTCCTCTGCGGACACGAGGGAGAGTTCAACAAGAACGAAGAGTTGGCATACCAATACGCACAACGTGCCGCCGCAGCCGGCCTTGCGACTGCCGAGTTCGCCATGGGGTACTTCCATGAGATCGGCATGAACACACCTGTCAACCTGGACAAAGCGCTCGAATGGTACGACAAGGCCGAGAAGAACGGCAACAAAGACGCGTCTGCGCGTATAGAGAGCATCTCCAAGTTGTCGCGGACACTATCGAAGAAGGACCATGAGAACGTTGCCATCAACATGATCAAGTCAAAGCACGGCTCCATGCGAGGTCAGCGACCGGCGAGACTGCAGAAGTCACACGCTCCCATGCCGTCGATCAACGACATCAGCCCTTCCGATTACGGTGACAGCTCCCCAGGTGGCCGACTGCCAGCCAGGGGCGATAGTACAACGCCATACCCCATGTCTGACCAGCCTCCAATGATCTCAAACGCGCCCATGGCGGCACCCTATGATCGTCCTTCCACAGCAGCGCCATATCCTATGGACAATGGGCCTCCTCGGCTGAGCCCCCAACGGCCAGGTATCGCGGGCGGATTTGCGCCAGAGGTGAGAGCTTCTAGTACTCGACCTGTGTCCTCAGCGTTCAACATCAATCCCAACGTCTACCCTCCAAACGATCCCTACGGCCGCGGCAGCCCGCGCCCAAACCCCGGGCCAGGTTATGATATGGGGCCGATGCCAATGCGCCCTCACACGAGCGTAGATAATATGGGCCCAGGGCGTGGCGGCCGTCCTTCAAGTGGTGGCCGTGGCGCGCCGCTGCCACAAGGAGGACCTGCAAGCTACAGACAACCTGGAGGGCCGAGTGCTCAGCGCCCGGAAGCGCAACCCCGTCCATCAACCACGCAGCCTCCAGATATCGGATACAGTGCACCAGATGGACGTAACAAGCTGCAGAAACAACAGGGGGCGCCACTTAAGAAAGCGCCCACTCTGCCCGATATCGGGTACGTTGCACCTCTCGAGCCTCGCCAGCATACCCGTCCATCTACCGTTCAACCGGGCCAAGAGAGTAGAACCTCTTCGAGAATGGACAGGCCCTCGACTACTACGCCAGGGCAAGGCTCTCGGCCCTCCTCACGGCCGGGCTCATCAGGACGTCCCAGCGGATACGACAACATGCCCAAGCCTAACAGGGTGCAGACGTTGCAACAGCAGCAGCCACCTCCGAAGCCTGCGCCAGTACAAGCGAACAAGCCGGCCACACCTACACCGCCTAAGCCAGCCTCATCGGCTTCCTCGGCGGCAGGCAAGGGTCCCAAGACATTTGATGAAATGGGCATAGGGCAGGCACCCAAGGAGGGCGATTGTGTAAGTTGCACGTCCGGCATGCACCAAGAATTGTTTGCTAACCTCCAACAGGTCGTCATGTAGATTTTGGAGCGCTGGAACAGCGCGATTTGGATGACGTTTTGCATAGCGGAGTTTTGATCTTGCATAGTAGTGAGCGGTCGCAGTACTAACACTCGATATACCCATCTTCGGAACACGTGAAGCGGCATTGGCGACTTTTAAGTATAGACGAAATACAATCAGACAAGACAGAACTGTGATCAATGGCATGCAGGGAAATCAAATCGTGGTGTGCGGGGATGCTAGCCAACGTGCACCGTGGTCGTATTTTCACTGCTGCCAACAGGCCGTGGTAGTGCAATCCGACTGCACAAATTCTTCTTGAGTCTTACATGCGAATAATATGGACTGTCGCAAGACCATGGCGATGCGAAATCGCCTGGAATTGGTCGGGACGAGAGTAGCTACCCGTGGACACTGAGGCAGTTCCTAGATCGCGCGCGTCGACGCGGTGTCACGTGTCAGCACAAATCCGCAGTGAAGTCAAAGGTCTTCTCAGGCTATGATCAAACAACGATCCAAAAGCGTCGCCTGTGTCTTCTCTCACGCTTTTCGGTTTTCAATTCGATGATTCCTTCCCCTCAAAATCAATGAGAGCTGTTGGCCGTGATGGTACCGTGGGGGTGAATCCGCTGGCCACCTGGGCATGCACGGACGCTAGCGCGGTTCCTGAACGGCTCAGCGGGGAAGGAGCGCGTTCACAATTACCTCACTCGCAAACTCCACCTGCAACCGTACCTCCAGCCTACCCGCGCCTGTCGATCCTCTGGCTTGTGGTCGCAGTCATGTCTGGAAAGCGCTCTCGCGCTCTCACAGATGGGCTTGATCCCAACGGCTCAGGCAGTAACAGTCGCGTATGTCAAACGCCCCGAAGCCAACAGCACGCATGCTAACATCGCCCAGAACAAGCGACCCCGTCAATCTGAATCCGAGGGCAGCGATCAGTCTTCGGACGACGAGCGTTCCAATGCAGCCAGCGGCAGCGATTCCTCCGATGACGAAGGCGAACACATGCGCGAACGAGAAATACGGGCGACACAACAGGTGCAGAAAGAGCATCGGGCAACTGCAGACAGGGAAAACGTCGCGACGGATTCTGGGATTATCGAAGAAATCCAGTGCATCAACTTCATGTGCCATGAACATTTGACAGTAACCCTGGGGCCTCTGATCAACTTCATCATCGGACATAACGGCAGCGGAAAGAGCGCCGTGCTCACTGCCCTCACAATCTGTCTGGGCGGAAAGGCTACCGCCACAAATCGTGCCCAAAATCTCAAAAGCCTTATCAAGGAGGGCAAAGATCATGCCTCCGTGACTGTCAAGATCAAGAACCAAGGGCCACTCGCTTACAAGCCCGCGCAGTACGGCGACTCGATCATCGTGGAACGACACTTCAGCAGATCCGGAACTTCAGGCTTCAAGCTCAAGAACGTGAACAACAAACTCGTCACCAACAAGAAAGCGGAGCTCGAAGACATCCTAGACGCCTTCTCCATGCAAATTGACAACCCGATGAACGTCCTGACACAGGACATGGCAAGACAGTTTCTGAACCACTCCACGCCAAAAGACAAGTACAAGTTCTTTCTCCAGGGCACGCAGCTGGAGAACTTGAACAGAGACTATCAGCAGATCGAACAATCTTTGGAAGTCATGAACACGAAAGCCGAGGTCAAAGAAGTCGACCTCGCGACTCTAAGGCGCGAAATGGAAGCACTGGAGAAGAAAGCCAGAAAAGCGGCAAGCTTACAGACGATGCGAGATAAGGAAACGGAATTTGCTCGACAAGCAGCATGGGCCACGGTTCGTGAACACGAAGATGATGTTGCGCACAATGAGAACGGACTCGCAGACACCGAGAGAATCATACAAACCTTACAACAACGTGTAGAAGATGCAGGAAAGGCCTACGAGCTGGCGGATCAGGCCCACGAAGCCGCCAAACAAAACGTCACCGATCTCACGACTGAGATGGAGCCAGCAGAGCAAAAGGCACTTGATGCTAAAGCAAAGTTCCAGGAAGTCAAGGGAAGACTCGTGGTGCTACTAGCTGATGAACGGATTGCACAAGGTGAAGTGAAGGAAAGGGAAAAGAATGTGCACAAGTTGGAAGCAGAGATTGCGCAGTACCGACAACGACAGGCTGAAGCAGACAACGGCCGCCACGCAGAAAAGATTCGAGAACGTGATGACGCCAAGGTCAAGTACGAGACTGCCAGGTTAGCATTCGAGGGCCATGATACTGGGCTTGCAGCGCTACAAGACCAACTGGCGACAGCTCAAAAGGAGCAGAACGAAGCAGATCGAAAAGTAGAGGACGCTCAAAAAGAAGTTTCACGTATACGGGAATCCATCGCAAGAATGCAAAGAGGTCAGAGTAATTGGGACGATGGGTATCAAAATCGCCAAAGGCTGAGCGAGCTACTCCGCGCGATCGAGTCCGAGCACAGATTCCGGGAGAAACCAGTTGGACCCATGGGCCGTCATGTGAAGCTGCGCTTGCAGGATTGGGGTGGAATTCTTGAAAAGCAATTTGGTCAAACGCTGAACGCCTTCGTCGTCACTAGCAAGCCAGACCAGAATATACTATCAGCCCTTATGAAAAGGGTTGGCTGGTGCGCGCCATCTTTCTGCTTAATCAACAACGCTAACGATGTCAGGTCTGCCCCGATATACATTGGCAAGAGGACGCCTATAAACACCGATGGCAATGAGCCCGCAGAAAATCTTACCACATGGATGAAGGCACTTACGGTAGACATGCCTTTTACATCCACGACACAGAAGTATTTCACTAACTGGCACGTAGTTTGACGACGATCTTGTTCGAAATCAGCTCATCATCAACCAGTCAATCGAGCAAACCGTGCTCATTGAGAACATGGACGAAGGCGCTCAGTTTATGTTCAACCGCGGGCCGCCTACTACGAACGTCAAGATGTGTTTTACCTTTGCGGATGGCGACACAACCAAAGGTCGTGTCTTCGTCTACAACAGTGGCGGAGGTATCAACAACAGTCCGATCGCACCGTATACCGGAGCTCTGCGTATGCAGGTGGACAAAGATACTCGAATCCAGTGCGTATAGCGCTTCAATATCAGATCATTCGCTAATAGCATACACAGACTAGAAGAGAAGAATCTGTCCCAGGCCAGGGGACAACTTGAGACCTTGCAGCAGCAGTCCAGTGAGCGGCATGATGAGGTCAACAAATGCAAGGCTCAGTTACAGGACCACGAACGCCAGAAGAAACATCTGAGACTTGCTTCCCAAACTGCTTCCAAGGAATTGGAAAGACTTGAGTTCGAACTGGAGAAAGCAACTCCCGACGAAGCAGCTATCCAAGTGCGGGAGTCAGAGCTTGCGGAAGCTCAAGAAGAGTTGAAGAACGTCATGAATGTCTACGAAGATGCGGTGACGCAAAGGATCGGACTCAACGACGAGAATAGGGCGAACAAGCAGGAGATGGAAGCTGCACAGAAGCTTGTTGCTGATCTCCGGTCCCGGCTCGACAAGGCGCACGTGACAGTTCGAACTCTTCAGGGCACACGACAAGAAGAGCTCCAGAAAAAGAACGAAGCCATCGAGCAGGTTGCCGAAGCTGAAAAAGTAAAGAAGAACTGGCAAGAAGAGCTCTTGGAGTCGCAACAAAGCCTCGCCGAAGTAACTGAGGGTGCGACGAGCATATGTGAGCGTGTGTTTGTCCCCCCTAATTCAACTTCCGATGACCTACAGCGGAGAATGGTTCAAATGGCGAAAACCAGGGAAGAGGCTGAACGGGAGCTCGGTGGATCACAGCTGGACCTTACGCGGGCGGCAACTGAAGCGAAGCAGAAGCACCACGATGCAATGAAGGAGTTTGAAGACATCAGAAGTCTACGCAACGTAAGTTTGGTTACACGTATCATAATGATTCTTACTGATCCGGCGCAGCAACTCATCACTACGCTTGACAACCGACGCAACCGGTGGAAGCAATTCAGATCTGGCATCTCTGTTCGGGCGCGAGTCACGTTCAACTATCTGTTGAGCGAGCGCAAGTTCAGAGGTACACTGAGCATCGACCACAAGAAGGCTCTTCTTGACATTCATGTAAGTCTGGACATCAGTTTGACTCGCACAAGGCGCTAATTCCATCAGGTTCAACCGGATATCATGGAGCGAAGCGGAGACGGCAGACAGACAAAGACCCTCTCGGGAGGTGAGAAGTCGTACTCTACCGTGTGTCTTCTCCTCTCCCTGTGGGATGCAATGGGCTCGCCTATCCGCTGTCTCGACGAATTCGACGTCTTCATGGACAGCGTCAACCGCGAAAGGAGTATGCATATGATCATCCAGGCTGCTCGACGCTCGATTGGGCGACAGTTCATCTTCATCACTCCACAGTCGATGAGTAACGTCACGCAAACGTCCGATGTCAAGATCATCAAAATGACGGACCCAGAGCGCGGACAGACAGCATTGAATGTGCAGCGGACTTGAAATACCCCTGGAATATGGCGTTAATGTGTTGGCATTTGTCGGTGTTGTTGTCGTCGTGTGGGCCGATGGTCACGGAGTTTGAGTATGGATATACCCGCTGGCAAAGGAAATGTGTCTCGTAGCCATATGCACATAGTGCCATGGTCGCTCGTGCATACTGGCTGGATGTTAGTCTGTCAAAATGATCAGAAATTTACCTCGCGTTGTGTTCGAGAAGAGCTCACGTAATGTGGCCGTGACATTTGCCGCGCAAAGCGTAGTCGCGAGTTGCGGCGTAAGCGGCCGCAGCGGGTTGTACAGGGAACGGAGTGGGTATGCAAAAGGTAAGGCGGATGCGCACCGGGATCCAGGGTCTCTTGGCCAACCACGTCGATGGACGGGTCTGATACAACTCTCCCACCTCTCGACTTGCTGGCAAACCTTGGGCCCATGTGAGAAGCAGATTTCCGTGCTGTCTCTGCACCTGGCTTCCTACCCTCCTCCGGGAGCCTATATGCCCCCCACCGACTCGCCGTCGACGCACCACCATGGCCGACTCCCCACTCTCAACACCCGGCACTCCAACCACTGCCTCGCCGCTACCTTCCGACAGAAACGCCGCCCGATCTTTCTCGCCCGCGCAGGACGACGCGCAGACGGGCGACATGCAGGGACACGCCGAGGGTGCGCGGACGAGTGCCCCGGCGCCGAGTGTGGTGAATGCGACGGGATCAGCTGAGCAGGCCATGGAACCCAAAGGGAAAGAGAAGGCCACCAAGGGGCCGCTGAAGCTGCTGGATTTGCCCATGGACATCCTCAAGGAAATCATACACCAGGTGAGTAGGGGCGCCTTATGCGCTGCACCCTGTCATGCGGCACGGCCATGGCTCGATGCTGACGTGCACCTCAACAGCTCCCACACACCAACGACCTCACCTCGCTGTGCCTCTGTCACTCAGCCCTCCATCGACTCACGATCCCATGCATATACTCGCGCTTCGACATTGTGTGGCCTGACGAGAGCACCCACAACGAGCCTCGCGCTGGCGTCGATGCTCTCACCTATGGCCTCGCGACGCTGGTCATGGGCGACGACTGCTTCCCCCACCAGAACCGGCTGAGGCTGCAGGGACAGACGCCGACCGCACTGCTGAGGACTGCCGCCAACCCATACCCTGTTCCGCAGCGGCGGTTTGGCAACTACTACGGACAGTTTACCAAGAAGTTCTCTCTCGGCAATGGACCGCAGGCATGGGTTCAGGAATACATGATCACCAAGGAAGGCGGGAAGATGCTGGGGACCTTGGTGGCGCTTGCCATTGCGCGCATGATCAATCTGGAGACGTTCGTGTGGGATATGCCTACGGGTGTGCTTCGCGATGTCTGGCTTGCGCTGTCGAGCCTCGCCCACCGGAGTGACGGTGAGGAATGCCGTCTGGACCGCCTCTGGATACGATGGCACGACAACACAATCGACGCGCCGATCCCGCCGCCCGCGCCACCCATGATACTCAACAATCAAAACCTCCCTCCACCCCCGAACGCTACACATCCGAGTGGACTTGGCACCGTCCAAGCCCCCGTTGTTGTGGTACCCCCGTACGCACCGAGTAGCATGTCTGCGCTAGATCGAGTCGAACACCCTACCTTTTCTGCCATACCTGCGCTCAAGAGTTTGAGTGTCTTGGACATCGACGAGTTGCCTTACCTCGACGAGATGAGCATTTTGATCGCAAGATCCCAGAAGAAACTACGCGAACTACGGATCGGTATCGCAGCCCATGCACAACAGCGGGACTGGGTGACCGTCTGGGAGGGTGAAGGTCTTCAACAAGTCGACTACAACGCTACATCGACTGCCGCGTGTTCAATAGGAGAGAAAAGGCTAGGGGGCGTTCTCGGCATTCTCGTTGGTCGCATACACAACATGCGCCATTCGGAAGAACCTCCAACCCAGAAGTCCGGCGCTACCGGCGTCACAGAACGATCAGTAGAAGCAACGCCCGCCAAATCGGCAGCCTCCTTGCCCCTGCCCTCCATAGCCTCGCTCTCACTACAAGAACGCGACCCGGACCAGGATGTGGATCATTTCGGTAATCCGATGGAAGATAACTCCATAACAGAGGGCGTTAGTCTCTTCAATGACAATCAGCCGTTTAGTGCTGGACAGACTGCGCAGGCTCCTGGTACGGAGAGAGTCGCTGCAAAGACACCTCCATCTCGTGACGAGACTTCTGGCTCAGAAGATGAGCCGCGGCTGACTGGCAAACTGAAACTAGAAGTACTGGAGCTCGAACGCGTCCCTCTCGCCGTCCCAGTGCTTCGCAGAGCCTTCGATTGGTCGATTCTATCGACATTGACTCTTCTTCACTGCAGCAATCACGAACAACTGTGGAAAATACTACGGAGAACATACACCCCTCGTCCCCCCTACCCTGGCTCACCGTCTTCATCCAAGGCGTACAAGGCCTCCTACACCCTTCGATCGGAATACCAGCTCAACCTCAAGCGAATACACACTAATACAGTGTCTCCTTCGCTGATCACGTTTCTCAAAGAGACACTGGCGCCGAATAGTCTTGAAGTGCTCTTTCTCCAAGAAGGCCGCTCTTACTCGTCTACGGTCACAGTAGATGCGATCTACAAGGGGCCATTGCGGAGACATCGAGGAAGTTTGAAGAAGCTAATGATAGACAGTGGAGAGAAGAGCCCAGACGGACACACGACCAATAGTTCAAGGTGGAGACGGTGGATGCTGAACCGCGAGATCCTGACATACATAACAAGCGGCCGTATGAACAGCTTGCGGGAACTCGCAGTGTCCATCGACTACAAAGACTGGGTATGTTGCGCCTCATTACAATTTCAAGAAATGTGACTGACGTCTGTACAGCATCACTTCCTCCAACGTCTCCCGTACATCCCTCATATTCGCTCCCTGTATATCCCTTATATCGCCGATCACGCCCATGGCAGTAATATCGATCCACGCGAACTCGCATACCAGATACTCGATATTGTGCACTTGCGACCGGAGATAGAGCTCTGCTACATGGGCCTATCTACCAAGTGCTTTGAGATTCTGGAAAATCGACCATCAAATTATGACCTACGACACGATGGCATGCATGCCGATGGTAGTGGATCTGCATACGCTACACATGATCCGATGTTATCCGACGACGAGAGCGAAGCTACGGAAGACGAAGACGACGATGACATGGACGATGGCGCTATGCCGCCCGGTGGTGATGAGACCGAGAGCGAAGCAAGTGACGATGTCGACGTTGAGAGCGACGATGAATCGTTTGTGCAGGACTCGCAAAAAGGTCCAAAGTTACGTGTTCGAGAGATACTCTTCTACGAGGAACGAGTTGAGGCGTTTAGGAGGCGGCACGGCGTGCTGAGGCCTTGATGTAATGTGACTGATACGACGGGCATGGTGTTCTATAGTATTACTGCAGCATTTTCTGTACGCATGGGACGGAGCTTGGAATGGGACGGTGCAGGAGGCGTACATGGTAGATATCCTTGATACTTTTTCCATCAGGTATGTAGTCTCAAGACCTAAGCTCTCGTATTGCACAATGTCGAATCATGACTCGATGTATTTGCAGGCAATATAGTACTAGACATTGAGAAACATCATCATTTGACCAAGATGTGCGCACAACGGTGAAGGTCAAATGCTTTTCGTCATACTTTGACATGGCGGCTACCCCACGTGAATACGCGTTGGAGCTGGCCCGAGCTTGATGGGCGGTGGTCGCGACCGCTGCTGCGCGAACAAACAGACAACAATCCCCAAGACCCGACGATGAGCAGACTTGTAGCAGCAGCACACCCGTCGTTAGATGGCACATCGATCGCACGTCCATGAAGTCTCTCATATTACCACGTACACGAACACAAGCCCAAACAATCGCATAGTGGGGCCTCCGTCGCACCTCCGTCCGCCATGGACCATTCCACCCTGGTCTTCGCGTCCGTCTTTCCAGTCCTCTCCTTCTCGCACAGCACACCGACGCCGATTGCGACACCAGATTTGGGGCATACAGCGCCTGGGACCTCGTTCGGTAGCCCGTACGCTCTGAGGAACGCCGAGAGCCGAACACCAGCGCAAGCACATGGGCAGGGACAGCACAGGGCAGTCAAGCGCAACATAGCATGGAGTTGCGCGACGCGATTCCTGAGTTTGCCAAAAGACATCAACTTCGCGCCTAGGACACAGAAGAACAGGGAGATTGAGGAAGCCCTCGACTTTCTCTTGAATGGAGAAGGCAAGAGCGACGATGAGAAGGAGGAGACTCTGGTCGAATGGTACACAAACGAGTGCAGGCTGCACTTTGCGAACCATGTCCGACCCGGTCTAGAAGAGTTGTGGGGGGATGAAGTTGAGCTCCAGCGAGCCTGGGAGATTCTCGATGAAACGCAGCGTATCCTCGAGCAGGTGCAGAACGTATACCTCCAGCCCTTCACCGACCACCTACTGCCTCTCTTACAGCAGAACGCCAGTAACGCGACCCTTCGACCGAGCAGACCTACACAGATCGCCGACTCAGATACTGCGAGTGCAGCAGATTGGAAGTTTCGCCGGAATATACAGGCTGTCTTTGCGCATTGTCTGCCGCTGCAGCGATATGGGAAGACGTTGAGCTATGTCTTGTACGACGCTGGATGTCGCTTGTTCCGCATTTATACCCGACACGATGGCATGCAGCCGAGTGCTTCGCCCGAGAAGACGCAGGAGTGCAGAAAGCGAATGATCACCTTGCTACAAAGCCTAGAGCGCGTTGGACTCGGTGGTGGCAGTGCGCAGGAGGCCTTCGCACACGCCATGAACAAGCTGCTCGACTCTTTCATCACAAGCCACTACTTGAAGGTAGACTGGTATTCCAAGAAGTCAGTTGTGCCGCAGTTGAGACTGTGGATTCAGGATGGCTTCTGTCCACTCGTCGAATTGGTACTAGAATGTCTGCGGTGCGAGCAGAGTAGCATTCTGCCGACCGAATTGGCTTCAT